CGCCCCCCCCCCCCCCCCCCCCGCAGATCCCGATCGATGTCGCTTTAATTAAGGCCCGAAAATGCAGGAAGTGAAGGAGGAGCTGCTGAAGGCGAAAGACCAGAACGTGGTCGTGCTGAGCTGGCTCGGGGGATCCGGCCCGCCGTACAATCAAGCCGTCGCCAACATCCGACTCCTCGGAGTCATGGCTGCCCATTTCCTCGCCTTCCTCGCCGTAAGATTTCCCTTGTGTATGCGGACAGGGCATTTACCCCGATAGCACATGAGCCAACAAACGCGAGTGTTAATCACACTGCTTCTCCCATATTCGGCCAAAAGACCGAGGAACTCGATCAAAGAAGCCTCTACGTCACGAAAAGGGCAAGCACATCCACGCGTCAAGCGATTGTCATGAAACGACTTCTCTCGTTCATCGAGCACCTGAAGGTAAAGGTGGAAGACCCTATAGACCCTAAATAAACATCCAGATGCCCGTTGTCGTTGAGATGAGGAATCACAACTTCTAATAATGTGTAAATGTGATATTTATGATTGACCAATAATTACCACTGGCACCAGCGGAATCCGGCACAATTTGACGTCCTTCACTGAAATATGGACGAAATAAAAGCATGACTCTTCCGCCATCTATTGGTGGTGGTTGAAACTGACCATTGACGGTGTTTTTGGACGCTAGGGCACTAAATCTGAAGGGATATTCTCAAGTCGCCAAACGGCGACGGTGGCGCTTAAAGGGTTAATGCCAGCGATATCAATGGGATTTACCCCAACGGCGGGTAGCGACGAATTATCTTATTTGCGAATTCATCAATCACTTCCGCCAAGTTCGCGTTCAGAGCTGCCAAAAATGGCAGATCACTCAGCCTCTCGTCCCCTCAGCGAGACCGTAGGTAATATTTTTAACCTCGGCATACGCAGCTGCAACTTTCAAGAGCGCATGTCAAAGTTCAAGTTGTATCTGATAAATAAAAAAAAAATTAACCATGGAGGCCATGCCGCTTGAGAGTTTTAAAGGCGGACATTCAGGCTATTACAGGGAATAGAAGAGGTTGCTAAAATCGCTTAAAGACGCAAGGGGGGCAGTTGCCCCCCCTTGCCCCCCCCCCTCGAAATGACGTCCCTGGAAATCGTTATTATTGCTCCAATAGCATCGTACAAAGACGGGCTTCATAGACGGTGCAATTCTGGCGGACCGTACGCCATGAAACTGGCGGCCTGACTGGATTAGCAGGATTAGGACTAGCGGGATTAACAACATTAACACGATTAGCACGACAGCACTGACATGGTTTCTGTAACGCTTGCCACCAGAGTCCCACCACTTCTACTTCGTGTTGTGTGAGGACTGTGTGATGTCGATGTTCTCGGAGAAGAGGACAAAAACAAAGGGGAACGGTTTTTCTTTTCCCCGATTTGCTAGTAACTTTGTAGTGCTTGTGTAGATAAAAAAAAACGCTGATAAAATTGAATGAAAGCTGAAAAAATTATGCATGCCAGGGATATGGGGTAGCTCTTGCCGTTTTTAATGTACTTCAACAGCGGCGAGGTTTTTTTCGACACCCGGTATGAGAATTGAACAGACTTGCGCCCTCGCAAAAACTCTGGAGAGGGGCGAGACAGTCGAAGTACAAAAACACGCCGTTTATGGGGAAAATGCTTTTCAGTATTTTCCCCATAAGGCGGATGGCGTTTCGTCAGTTTTGGTGAACCATCCTCTCAATCAGAAACAATGGATGTGTATTTGGAAAGAGGGAGACCGGAGTACGAATACAGGAGATGCACGTTGTTGGCCAAAGCCTGGGAGCTCACCTGGCCTCGTACATCGGATCCGCGCTCAAGGACATGGGACTGGGGAAACTGGGTCGCATCACGGGGCTCGACCCGGCTGGACCCCAGTTCGAACACACGGATCCCCTGGTGAGACTCGATCCTGAGGATGCCCTCTTCGTGGATGCCATTCACACCGACGCTGCTCCTATCGCAGCGGGAGGTAAGGATTGGGACGCTCAGTCGTCGAACGGATGCTGTTAGTTGGAGTCGCGATGTGACTACTGTGTCTCGTGGCAGGTTTGGGGATGCTCCAAACGTCGGGTCACGCGGATTTTTACCCCAATGCTGGGGCTCGCATGCCGGGATGTGGACTGTCGCTTGACGATTCTCTCGCAAAGGAAAACGGTTCCGTTGTCTACGGTTCGAATTTCGATGAGTTCTTCCCCCTTTCCTTCACCCATTCATTCTAATTTCTGGGAAACGCGTTCTCTCGAGTTCTTTTCGACAGTTTCCAGTCCCAGGTGTTCATATGCTGCTCGTTGGCGCTTCTCCCAAGGTTTTACGCGGTACCTGCTTTGCAGTCACCTGAGGACCTACGAGTACTTCATCGAATCCATAAATTCGCCCAATCCGTTCCTCGCATATCAGTGCTCCAATTGGGTCGAGTTCAGGTGAATATTCTACCTCAGGGTTTCCCATTGTCTTCGCTGCTTGCATGATTTAGATGCTTGCATAAAAAATGAAGAATTTTCAAAATCTTCAAGAATCATTCGACATATTGGTCTACGGGTAAATTGATTCGTTCCATCCAAGTTCGACGCAGACTCCAAGAGTCCTGGACAGAGAATTGGGTCGATTCGGAATCGAAAACTCATTAATTTGAGGAACGAACCAACCGTTTAGAACGAAAAACAAGAAAGCTAGAAACTTCTATTGCACCTGGGACAAATTCGACAAATTCGATTAGAGATTTACGAGTTTAGGCTGTACAGCCAAAACTCGCAAATCTCAACGGAAATTAGCCTAATTAGGTAATTAGCCTAGTCAGGCTCTAACCACAGCCAAATTTCATTGAATTGAGATGGTCGAACACAATTTTCGTGGTAGTGGAAAATTGCGAAAGTTATGCGACTGGGTTCCAGTGTTGTCATCTTGTATGTGAAGTGATGAGTTCATCTGGTACGCTGAAGTACCGAGCTAGAGTACCGTTCCTGACTCTAGACCAGGTGGACGGGCAATTACGCGGCTGGGTATTCAAAGAACAATTCCTTTTCGTTCCTCAACGGATGCCAAGGCGGGGTCTCTGAATGCCCAATCATTTTTCCGGGGGGGCTCAGGTCATAAATCCGTTTTGGCAAGGGCCATCCTGCCCCATCTTGCTATACGAGTATGCAATGATATGTATTTGGCTGTAATGGGTTCAGGCGGGGAGGATGCGTGAGTTGCGGACAGAGGGGAGAGAAATGTGCGAGAATGGGATATCACTCGAATGAAGCCTGGAAACCGGATTTCTACGATGGGAAACCCCGGAAATTCTACCTCTTCACAGGCCCTGACCGTCCCTACTACCGTACGGTAGCCCAATCCACTCCGATTGCCGCTTTTTGTCTTTTTTTATTTTTACCTGAATGTTGAGAAGCAGGTGCCGACGATGTTGAATAGGTGTGACCCACATGGTGACGATGGTCCTGGCGGATCACGAGATCTCGGACAGGCGTGGAGGGGACATCGGCAGGTTTCACGTCACTCTTCGCGGCTCTCGTGGCTCTTCTTCCAGGTCACGTCTCGGAGATGATGAGTATGCATATCATTCCACCTGCATGTTCAAAAAGGAATTGAGATACAGGGTGGCTTGTGCAGCTTGGAAACATGGGATAGGCTTCGCACTATTGAAACTCTTTTTTGTCCGTTTGATACGGGAAGCTTTGATTTTTGGCTCTTGGCCTGAACGATCATAATAGGGTTCCCTTAGGCAGAAGGAAAAAGAGGACTAAAAAGGATTCCCGGGAAAAACAATGCCAACGCTAAATCTCATACGTACAAGTGTACCTTTCCAGAAGAAGATGCATTTGAAAGTTTTCATATGATATTCATCTATGGCCATAGCGGAAATGTTCAATCTTGGTCAAAATTGCTATTCAAACTAGAATAAATAATATTGTATCTGAAATTCATATTGAAGCTCACTGTCCTTCCTGGTATTTTTAACTTCCAGTTTCACGGGCAATTTCTTGAATTAACTCAAAATCCGATTTTGCATAAATACAATCCATTGCTTGAAAATGTTTGCAATGTTTTGACTGATTAAGTTGCCAGATTTTTTTAAATCAATCAGTATTTAACAAACAAAAAATGGTACAAGGGTTTTTCGTACTAGACAAAAGAATGATTGCTCTGGCACTGGCAGGGAATTGCGTGTCAGACCTGGCCAGGGATTCAGTTTCCTGATTCCATCGCCTGAAATCGGAGAAGTCGAGGAGATTCTCGTGGAATGGGAACGCGAGGGAAAGGCCAGGAAATCCAAGAGGACGCGGTCGTCCTCTCAATCCAGAGTAATCATCGACCGAGTCGTCGTTCACACCCTCGAACGCAACGCCACGTGAGTCCAACGCGATTTCTTCGTGCATCCTCCCAGAATTCGACATCCATTCTTGGCGCAGGGTGGCTTTCTGCGGCCGGGGTCGAGAGCTGGTCTCTGGGGAGAGGATGGCGATGAGGCGGGATGACAGCCGAGGATGTCTGGAGAAGCCCCTGCCCGGTGTCAATCAGTCCCTCAGAGGCTCTCTCTTCGGCTTCCGTCTGCAGAAAAATGTCGAGGAATTGCTTAGAAAAAGCGAATTCAAGTTCGCCTTTTTGAAATGATTCCTGTCCCCGTCGATGTCGTCATCCTCTTGGGTTAGAGAAAGCCGTGAAAAATCATTTCGTTGTTTTCATGCCTTTCCCAACTCTCTGAAATAATGCAGATGAACATGAACTCTCTCTATTGATAATCGCGTTCATCTCATAAGTAATATTAATTCCTCAACAAGGGCATTACATTTGTTGTTTTTTTTCCTGTTATGTTATGATGTACGTTGTTTTGTTTATGTTCCCGTTGGTCTTACATTTCAAAATATAAAAGATTACCGGACTCCTGTCATCATTTCCTCCATTCTGGAGAGATTAATATTGCGGAGGGACTGAACTCCTGAAATGCAATCCTCCTCCAGCAAACCTGAGATGCAATCGAAAAATGTGCAGAAGTTCTTCATGCCATCACCGTTCCTGCCCCGACGTGAGAGGATTGCGTTCGGAACGTTATGATCGTCTCGGCCCGTTTTCGTATCTTTAAAGCATTCCAAAATTGCTGAAAATTCTGAATTCATAGTCGAAGGAAGAATCACTTCTGTAGATTCTCGAACAACACTATTGATATTTTATTACAATTATTATAGACCGCTTCAACGAGCAAAAAAAAATCCGAAAACTGCTCTGGTATTTTCCCGCCATTTGGCGACAGATCGTGCAGACTTTGCGAGGAATAGTTGAGACCAGACGCAAAAAGGAATTCCAAAATCCTCTGTCAAAAATAAGGGAATCGTTGAAATGTGAATGTGCAGCGCCTCCGAGCCTCTGGATGAGGGACCAGAGAACGGTCAGAGAGCATTTTGGTCTCGGGAATGCGGACTCTGGTTAGATGATATTATTGATACTCAGCTTGATATTATTATTATTATTATTATTATTATTATGATTAGCTTGATGGTAATCCGAGATTTGGATCTGAATTTACGAGAGTCAGTGTAAGTAACCTAATTCGTTGGGATGGAAACTTTTCCAAGCATCAGATGAGGCGCGCGAATGAACAAGTTCTAACAGCGCAAGGGCGATGGGTGTTCATTTCTGCGATTCGCTGTGCAGTACCCACAGTACCGAACCAGTACCCAGTACCCACCAAGGACAACCCGTGCATCGGCGAGATCCAGTGCGGAAAGGCAACCAGTCTCGATCCTCTGGAATCGCGACGGCATCCAAGCTCAAATCGTCCCAAAATAATTTTCCACCCTTGGAATGAGTTGTTTCCTGAAGAAAAACAGCGTCGCGGGGACAGTATTGCAGAAACGGAGAAATAAAAAAAATTTCCCGACATCTCTGGAACATTCCACGTAGAAATTCTCGTCGAAGAAGGGATTTTAAAAAGGCAAAAAAAGAGTTATCTCGTAATTATTTAATTGGAAAATGTCAGAACGGCCTGAAATATCAGACGCGTATCTGATTGTAACTCGAATTAGCTTTTTACCCTTTGGAAAGAACTGGACGTCACTGGACGCGAATTTCGAGGCGCTGGAGTCTCGTCGCGAAAGCATTTTTCCGCCGCTCCGAGGCGAGATCAGAAAACGATTCAGAGGAAGATTCTCGATCTGAGACACCTGAAGAAGTTCAATTGTTTTTTGTTTTTGTCTTTTTTTTCCGAATGTGAGTCACGAGAGGAGAGGGACGCGGTGATCCGGCTGGAACGGCGGATGAATGAGACGGAAGAGAGACGTTTAACGGGGAATGGAGGCGAGAGACTCCATTCCACTGGACCAAGGTCAATATTGGAAGCGGGTCGTGACTCCAAAGGACAAACATATTTTGTAGTTCCGATCCATTAAATCTGATTGATATCGAGAACGGAATTGCAGTTTCGTTTGCAACTTGCAATTTTGTTGCTAACGTATGATTCTCACATCGTAACGCGAGGTCACATCGTAACGCGAGGTCACATCGTAACGCGAGGTCACATCGTAACGCGAGGTCACATCGTAACGCGAGGTCACATCGTAACCCTCGAGTCCCAACGCGCGGATTGAGGGCAGAACGCGAGAGATCCGGCTGGTGCAAAATTGCAACGACTGCAAGGAGATTCGTTGCGACCACTGCGACCGTCGCAATTTCGTCGCAATCGGTCGCAGCAGAGTCAGATGAGTCGGACCGTGACTTATGGAGTCGTTAGATAATGATTTTCCTGGACCTTTCGGCGGAATGACTTATTTCTTTTGCTGGAACGAATTTTTTGCGAAAATTATAAAAGACGGGAGGTTAAAAATTGGCTTGCCAATTGGGCATTTCTCACAGTTATTCACGATTATGCTCGTGGAGGCCCCACAGGGCCGCTAAAAAAAAAAATAAATCAATCGCTTATCGGTTCTTAACGGAAACGCCATTTTCTCCAGAAACCGCTCATTAGCACTTTCCAATGAGAATCATCGGCGCGGAGCCTGCACGAGAACCCGCCAGGTGTCACCGCGATCGCGAGCCCCGGCCGCCCGATCCCTTGGTCCTCGAGGTCGGGCCGCGAAGTCGCAGCGCCACGCGACTCACAACACGGCAAGTGACGATGTCCATCAATCGACTTCCTGCATTGTCTTCCACTTGCCGCATTCGACGAGGAACGAGGTGATCGATAAAAATGGGATTAATCAATCTATTAATTGATTACAATTAAATTAGTATATCGATTGATTACAATTAAATTAGTATGTCGATTGATTACAATTAAATTAGTATGTCGATTGATTACAATTAAATTAGTATATCTATTGATTACGTCAATTAATATTGATATTAAAGCTGATTTAATTGACGGATGATTCGATTTTTTTTTTTTCTTCGATCGGCAGCCCTAATTTTTACAATAAAAATAATCTGGATTAGAAAAAATCCTGCTTCTAAAATGCTTAAAAAGAATATATCAATCGAAGCAAAGTTTTTCTATGCCTCCTGATTTTGTTTGACTTTTTTTTTAGCACACGGCTCTGCTTGGCCTTAGGGGAGAAGAGAAAATTTTTTTTAAATATTTATGGTAAATTAATATTTATGACCGAGAAAGCGCCTGGGTCCATATTAGAGAGACTGAGAAAAATCAAATCTGTGCCAGAAAGCCCTTGACCCTCTTTTCAAGGGCAACTCATCCCTCTCGTTATAAGACTTAGAGGGCGGTTCCCCTGCCATCTGGTGACGTCATCAATCACTTTAAATAAATTTTTTTTTAGACACTTCGGCCGCTTGTTTTCCATCTGCATCGTTTTGATGCAGAATGTTCCGCGCGATTTGATTTCCTCTCAGTTTATTCGGTGGGCAACGAGAGATTCAGCTGGAATCCTCAAGAAACTCCCGGAATTCCCTTTGTCGGCCGCAAGGCTCGGGAAATGGATTTTTAAATTATTTATTTATATTTTCCAAGGACAGCTCCGTCCCCCGTCCTTTTTTTTTTTCCTCCTCCGCCTCTCCCACCAGGGAGAAGAAGATCCGGCATCTTCTTGCTCACTCTGCTCGTGATAATTCGGTGGAGGACAAGGTGGAGGACAAGGTGGAGGACAAGGTGGAGGACAAGGTGGAGGACAAGGTGGTGGACACATTCCGATCTTCGCTGTCGCTCTCCCCCATCGGCAATTCGAAAAGAGGTAGATTCGGATACGATTTATTATAAGTATTCGGTAATTATCATTTCAGGGAATTGAAAGCAGAATTTTGCGATGATTTAAGTTAAGTATTGCGAAAATTTCCCAGGCATCCTGGAAATCCGGATTTCCCGGATAATTTGGGAATGGTCTGAGTGTGCATCGCGGTTCGCATGAGAGAAGGTATGTTGTTCTTTTCCCCTCCACCTGGCAGGGTAATTAGCACGGAAACCGACAGCTTCGGGAATCAATTAATCAAATTCATCATGATTTTCGTACTTTCGGGACTCAGAATCACAAAGTCAACGTATCGAGTCCCCTACAAGTCAATGTGCCGATTTTGAGGCTCGATTTTGAATTCTGCACACTTCATTCCGAATCGGCACATTTCCTCCTGCGCACAAATGTGCAACGATTTCCCATTCTACTTTTGGGTCTTTGCATAAATTACCGCCAAATTTTTTCGCATGATTTATCTTTTAACACCTGGGTGGCTCATTCGTCATTCTCTCCCAAGCGACGTCGGAGCGGTGCAGCTTTACAATTCAAGGTCAAGGATTCAAGGTCAGAAGACGTAAAAAATGGTGGGAAATTAATGATAAAAAAATTAACAATGGAATCTTTTTCGCCAAAATGTTTTTTCTTTAAGCCATTTTCGCGAGAGCGACGAAAGCAGTCAACCATTGCTAATTATGTATAAAATGCATAATTAATCGTCACAAAAATGAATGAATGTAGCTTCAGGAAGTATAATAGCTACTCCCATTTAAATTCATAATAATTCACCAAAACCCATCAATATTTGCAATTTTGAAATTATGAACATTTTAAAAATCAAAATTTGAAACGGCAGCACTCAACATGTCCTTCCCAGTAAGCAAGTTAAGGTTATAAGTGGCTTAGGTTAGAATTTAGATAGAAAACCTTGAAAATCGGGAAAGAAGCGAAAAGGTCCAGTTTTTTTTTAGCCCTCCACGTAGGATTTTTTTTTTTCTTCTCGGAAAGGATTGTAGATTTCGAGATAAATCATACACTCATCATGTATTCATCACTCATCGTTTGGATACGAGCAGCTATATCATAATAGTCCATATTATAATAGCCGACGTATGTTCTCTTGTCTCTCGGCTAGAGGCCTGCACGGGTTGACTTTTTCGAATTTGGAGACCCGCATCCCTTTTAGGGCTCTAAGATTCGCCTGCCCCAGACGGGAAACTTGATTGCAAACGGAGCTGCACGCCGCGGGTCGGTCCGGTCGAGCCGATCCGCATCTCGTGCAGTGCCCTAATGACAGGACGCATTGATATCATCGATATAGAACGTGGCTGTTTGAAGTTCGTCATTCATTAGAATGACGAATTTCGGCACGGCACGGAACTCACCAAAAATTGAGGGGAAAATTGGAGGTCTCTGACGACTGGAAACAATTCTCCATCTGATAAATGGGAGATCCGAATTCGCACGGTGTATGGAACAGGATTGGATTACCCTCAATTAAGAAGGCGCGAATGCCTCACGAGTCTCAGGAGTTCCTTCTCTTCCCGCCAGAATGTTGATGCATTTCGCGGGTTTGCTGGTGCACCTCCTCCTGTTCATGGAGGACGCCGTGTGGCATCGCCTGATGCGCTACTACGTGGAAGAAGAGATCACGTCCCTGGACAACGTCCTTTCCGGCCCATCCAATCCCAGAGCGAGAAACCGGGCCAACAGGGCTTTTGGGAAGGACCTCCTTCGAGACTTATCCAACCGCCATCCATCTCGTGAGACCTATCAGGAACAATTTTTTCCCTCAGATGGTTTGTCCTCCGTAGAGCGAAAGGTTGAGTGCACTTCAACTGCACCAGCCACGTCTGCTCCAAGTTGTCTATTTCCCTTAAAAACGGGAGTGGAGGGATGCTATCAGCGATGCACTATGATTTACCCTAATGATTTAGTCTCCACCAAATAATAAGGAATCCGTCACCTAATCCTTCCAACGCTTACATCATCACTAGCCCAAGCAGCATGTTTATGGCAATATTATATACAATTAATGTAAATCCTTTTTTTCACCTTATTTTGCGGAAACCTTCAACACAACGGCTGGTACGCAAGAACGTATAAAACCAATAAAATAGCTATTTTGGAGGGTATCATATGATAAGTTTGATAGGCTTGATAGGTATGAAAAAACATTTTATACCTATCACGATAGGGTATCATGATAAGTATAAGAATCGCTTCAATCTATTATGATCCAGAGCTTGTTTATTCTGCTTATAACGAGCTACCTGGGTGGATTGCAGTGCATTTTATTAATCCAATTAATTATGTGAACTGTCGCAACTTGTGCTGAGCGCAGTTACTCTGAGATAGATTAAATCCCGTAGAATTCTTTGTATGAAGCCACGGCAGCCGGAATTCAAGCAATAGTCCGTTAAACGGGGTCAGATTAAGACCGTTAAGTCACCACACAGCATTCAGGTCAGTCATGCGAGCAGATAAACATGGCATTGTTCCTGAGCGGGAGACGAAGGATAGGAGGTTGTCATCAGGAAGATTTACAAATACCTATCATGATAGGTATAAAATACCTATCCTAATAGGTATGAAGATATCAATACCTATCATAATAGGTCTCACGATGGATATCTATTTGTTCTTGCACACGGAACAGAGCAAATAATAGATCTATCGCTTGATACATATCATACATAGCTACCATGTAATAGGCTACCATGTGGTAGGTTATTGCATACGGGCCACTGTCAACATGTTTGCAGAAATGTCACACCTCTGTGATGCACAAATGGTGATATAAAATTGACGAGAGTTTTACATGAAAAATACATTCACGTTTACATCCCAAGCAGCATGTTTGCATAAATATTATATAAAATTGAGCCCCAAACACCATGTTTATATTAATGTTATGTAATAGTGATGCTAATTTTTCGTCCATAGTATCAACATTCATGCGAATTTTTTTATAAGTCCACCAGCTACGAAGAGAGTTAATGCCACCATGCATATCCGATTCGTCTCTAAATCTTGGATCTCTAGTGCATGCAAAAGAGTAAACAAGAGTACCAAGATGACCCGCTGCTCCCCTCTTCCGCACCTAACACGGAACCCTGAGGGCGTGAGCAGGACTCTATAGATACTGTCTTACACGATAGATATGTATGAAGTGCGAAAACTCAAGCAGTCAACCCTTCCCTATTCTCGTACACTCTGTATTCCCATACTTAACCCAGCATTTAATAATTCCCTGAATCATACATTGCAATAAAAAAAAAGTTATAACTCCACGTTTTCCTCATATCTCTTTAAATCAATAAAATGCGCAAGGAAAAGAGAAAAGATGGGCGGAAAACCTTTTCCTAAATCAGGAAGGGACGTACACGATCCATATTCTGCCGCTTGTGGCATACTCATCAGGCTCCGCCCTGCTACTCAGCAATCTCTTTTCCATCCATTTCCGACGTTTTTCCACAGGTAGGGAAAAGGAGAAATGCTATCCCCCGTATGGATGCTTCTCGACGGACCACCCGTGGACATCCCCGCAGAGACCAGTGGCTTCGCACCCTGAACCTCCGGAGGTCATTCGACCCGCCTTCTGCCTCTACACCCGCCGAAACCCCAAAGATTGCTACGTACGGTGACTCCTCTTTGATCTTTCATCGAAGAATGACCCCAATGATTGTAATAACTTCATTCTCTAAAATATCACCACCAAGAAGGTGTGAATCGATCTCGATGAAATTAGGCAAGCGAGCACGAAGTAGTGATTCGTAGATTCGATGAGAGTCTGAAGGCAATATTTGCAGAGAATACTTGGTAAACACTTCAATTCAAATGGGTGCAAATGAATCGTAATATCGTCACATCAATTCTTATTCCAAGATAGACAACCAGTTTGATTAATCTTTCTTTGTTGAAGTTTTACGTTGCAGGAGAGTTCCAAAAATATAAATTGAGTATGGTAAAGGTGAAGTTCCGCATGATGTCACGCTCAAAAGTTTGCAACAGCAACACATGGAAGCGTCTTTTACGCAGATAATTGCTGCGGAGTTAGATCAATTTTCCTTTTCTAAAGTTTCTGGTAGGCCCATGTTGAACTGAGGTGACGATATACCAAACCAACTCGATTCTGAGCAAATGTGCTAGAGTGGAAGAACTTCCTTCACTAATGAGAAGGTGAGCATTCCCCGTGGAAGGATTCATGTCTAGACGGGGGGGGGGGGAAGGAGAAACACGAAGACAGTGAAAGGTAAAGGAGGTATCAATATGCGGCGTAAACTCTCCCTAGAGCGTCAGGGTCGATTTCTTCGAGAAGATTCGTGCGATATTGGGCCAAAGACGCACCTTGAGCAGCAGCAATGGGAG